TTTCTTCATCATTAATAGAAATATGCCCTTCAACACGTTGTTTTTTTAACTGATCAAGTTGAGACTGCAATGAGAACAAAAAATTATGAGATTAAAATAATAATTTAAATCTAAACGAAATGAGTATGTTTTCAAGCTTGATGTGTTTATGGAGTTCACTTACAAGGGCAATCTGTGAATCAGAATCTAGAGCTTTTCCTTTCTTTCTCTTGCGCGATTCAATCCAAACATCCACACGAGAAGGTGTAGCCCCATTTCTCTTTTTCTAAAATAGAAATTCTTTTTTAGTTTTTATTTTAGTAAGTTATATAATAAATTAATTTGTATGAGAAAACATATATAATACCATTTGATATCGAAGCCGTGCAAGACTTTTCGTTCCAGTGTAAGGTGGCATTGAACGCTTCGATCTGTTCCTTTTGTTTATCAAGCTCCTTTCCTACATCAATTACAAATGGTATGATGGAAAAGTACGTGAAAACAATAATATAACATGTATTATATAAATTATTCTAGTGAATAAGAATATGTGATGGAACCTGAAATGGTTGATCACTCCATAAATTAACAAGATACTTCCAATCACTGATGGAGACTCTTTTAGGCTTATTTTTCAGACGACTTTCATAGTTATTCTTCTTGTTGAAGTAATTCCTCTTCAGTTTATGCCTATAATCTCTGTACAGAGCATTCATGTGACCAATGATTGATTCCATCCTACCCATTGGGAGTTCAAACGTGAACTTCTCCTACGAGAAGCAATAAATGAAAAGAATTGTAGTAAGAAAACAAGTATATAAAATTTCTATTCAAATGCTAAATAAGTCCCAAAAAAATGAATGAAAAATGTGATTGCTTACCATTATGATTCCCCACATATGATCTATTGCATCTCTACTGATATCCTTCCATTCCTTCACTTGCAAAGGACAACAAGAACGATTTCGAACAGTTACTCCCAAAAATGCTACAAAACTTGTTGCATTTTCACCAACCGGTTGATGATCCTCATCGAATTCTACAGATAATTTATTTCCTTCCTCCAATCCGATAATTCTTATACAACGGGTTGGACCCCTTGTCTTCTTCTTTTGTTTTTGTGGACCTATTTGTAAATTATTGGGAAAAAAATGAGATATTGCATTGTGTTAATTTATCGTTAGCAATACTTAGGTGGTAAAAGTAAGAAAATTGCTATTATAATGTATTAAATAAGAAATAAAAGTATACAAACCTGTGTCATTATGCTCCGAACCAATATTTGTTTCCCCCCCCATCTTCTGATGAATCATCATCCATATGAACTTCTCCATCAAGATGTGCATTTGGCAGAACATCATGTTTGCTTGACAAGGTGTATATTTCAAAAGTAGAAATTCTACATTTCTTATATGAGGAAAGCATGGATAGAACACCATCATCATCCTCCAATTGTACCAGCCCGTTCAAATCACTAATGGGAGTTTTGGGTTTAAGATAGTAGAACTTATCTCCATTAAGGACACTAAACCCACACATCTTAAGATCATCTAAGATAGTAAAATATGAAAGGAAGTCCACCTCATGGTCATCTTTTACCATTATATTTCCAGCTGTGTACTTTCTACGAGGTGAAAAAGTGAAATGGCCTCCATAATGATATCGGATTGATAATTTTTGCTCATCCACATTTTCTACAACAAATAATTATAAGGTAAACAAATATTAGAAACTTTTATTAATACATTATATTACTCTATACACATTATATACATTGAACAGTAAAGGTCAATCAACTTAAAATGTAATTTTAACCAATTAAAGAGTCGAAAAGAGAAGGCACATACCTTGCACATCACTAGTTGCTCTCGCCGGAGAAGTTTGGACAGAAGGATCTACTGAACTTGCAAGACCCTTGTCACCCAAACGAGATTGATCAACAACATTTTCTTGTTCAGGCTCTCTTTCAAACAGGTTGCCTTTGTCTTTTTGTTTTATATTCTTTTTTCCTTTTCTAAAACCTCCACGTCTTGGCATGATTGATGGTCCACCTGAGTCAGTGTAATGATATTTGAGAATAAGCTACTACATAAGAAGCCATGATTCTAATTCTGGAATGAATATAAATAGTGATACGCAAGTAAACATATATAAACACAAAAGAGTTCAGGAACAACACAAGCCCCAATATTTTGCTATCTAAGCGTAGGCTAAACAACAAAGGAGGAAAAAATAAACCCCATACTCCATGAAATTGAACGAGTGACCTAAGTCATGGTGAAAATACAATAGAAACGTAACTCTGCAGTAGACGAGAGAAAAGCTTGAAATAATTTGCCTATTAATTACCTCGTCAAAGAAGCTTTCCAGTAATCGCAATGCTCGTCGATGCAGCCTATGATGACTTGTAGCTAGGTCTAAGGAAACTTTTACGAATAAAAGGAACATTGGAATTTATAGGAGAAATCACTCTACACTATTCGGCGGCTGAAATAAACTTTGAATTTCCCTTCCCGCTATAAAAGTGCGCCCAATTTTCCTTCCCGCTATGAGGTTCCGCTCAATATTTAGGTTTCAGATTTGGATGGTGGAAACCATTCGTGTAGGCGATACCCTTTAGCAGATGATGCATTAAAGTTCCCAAAATAAGGTGGGATTCGTAACCGATCTAGCTACTTACCTATAGCTAGGATAATTATTACTTTATTATCAAACCCTTTTTCCTTTTCAAAATTAACCATTTATGGTAATATCCCGGTTATAGTGGCCAATTCCTCTAATCACACCCGATGATGAATCGAAAACTTAATTTTTCAACGGTAAATCGAAAACTTAATTTTTCTACTAGTCCAATCACTAATTCGGTTAAGTTCTTAATTATAACAATGGCCAATTCTATACTATCAAAATATCCATAAACGCTAGCTACATGTGGTTGGCAGCCATACTCATATGTAGCTTGAATCACGAATACTTTCAAGTACAATAGAACTCATAGACATCATTAATCTCTTACTCATAATTAGATATGGCAAATGGATTGATCCATGGATTGGTGGATTGGATGGATGGATCCATAGATTTAGGGGTGGCTATACGGTCCGGTCCGGTTAAATTGACCCAAATTGATCTGGTCTAGTCCGGTTTTTTTGAAAATATAAGGACCGAATATTGGATTGGATACAGTCCGGTCTTGACCCGGTCCGGTCCCAATTCGGTCTTGATTTTATATTGAGATTGTGGGAATTTGAGTGGCCTAAGGCCTAACAGGGTGAGGAGTTGGTTAAGTTTTGTACTAACGGGTCGTTTGGATGCATCCTTTTGATTTTATGGTATTTCGAATCAAAATGATGCATTATTTTGCTATGTGGCATTTCATGTGGTATTTCATTTTGAAATGTGGTAATTGGTGTAATTGTCTTGTTTGGATAAAACATTCAAATATTGTGGTATTTCACCACTTAAAGAAGGGATGAAGTGAAAAAAGAAGTTGGGAGATGAGGTATTTGAAATAACTAGGGGGTGGGTAGGTATTTCAAATAACTCACAATGAGTTATTTCAATTGACTCATGGACAAAATACCACATTCTACTTTATTTTTGCCAAACGAGTTATTTTGGTTGAAATACCTCATTCTGAGTTATTTCGAACAAATTACCTCATCAAAATACTGCATCCAAACGACCCATAAGTGCAAAGGTTTGTGACCGTTTATGCAAATTACCCTTAAGTTTTGGGTGTTGAGCTCTCTTATCCGGTCTTTATCCGGTTTTTTACCTCAAATCTAAGCCCAAAGATTGGATTGGATTGTTTACTATCCGGTCCCGATCCGGTCTCGGTCCGGGTTATACGGTCCGGTTTCCGGTTTTTCATCCGGTCCCGGTCCAAATAGCCAGCCCTACATGGATTGGTGTGATGGATTGGATTGATGGATCCAAAATGTAAAATATTAAAAGTATAGGTACCAAACCATAATTTATCATTTGGATCCATGGATCAATCCATGAATCCACTAATCCAATTGGATTTGGATCAAATGGATTCGATTTAAATGGATTGGATTAGATGGATATTTTTAATGGGTTGGTGGATTGGATTGATGAATTGGATTGAGAATTGCCACCTCTACTCATAATCAATGGATTTGGGCAAAATTACCTATGAGTAGGTAGTTGCCATTCATAAATTGATATAGATTAGGTGCATAACTCTTGTTTATACATTTTGTTCTTATGGTACAACTTGAAGTTGTATCTTTAACGTTATGGTACAACTTTAGGTCTTACCTATATTTTTTTTGTAAAATTTCTTTATGGTACAAACTAAAGTTGTACTTTTATGTTATGGTACAATTTCACAACTAAAAATTGTACCATAACATTACTGTCAAATTCCCTTATGATACAACTTTAAGTTGTAATTTAATCACTCCAATACTTTAAAGTATAGTAGAACTGCTCAACAAATTTGGTGTTTAGCACCCGAAACTTGGTTCGTGCTTTCTTCATTTTGCCCGTGATTGAAATCTTGTTGGGACTGCAAGCCCAGCTACAAAGCCCATTAAAATTTGCTTTAAATGAGTTATACAATAAAGTTAAAAAAACTAGTAAATTAAAGAACTATTTCCTAGTGCCTATTGGGAAAAAAATTATACAACACATGAGACTAGAGAGACCACGGTGGTCCTTTAATTAAAAAAGTAAAAAGCAATAGCTACGAAGATTGGTTTGGAAAAGCAGGCTGTTCTCTACCGCATAGCTTTTTCGGGCACTCCAACCGCAGCTCTTCCTCCGCTACTCTCTGCTACCAACACCATTATCTTGTATCCCTAGCTTCCGTGAATCTTGACTCTGTTTTGTCAGCTCAAGGACTCATTCTGCTCTGCTATCATCGGTAATCTCTTGCTTTATTGTTTTTTCCCCTATTCAGCCAGTGTTTATGCTTTTACTCTTGAATGAATTTCAACACTGTAAAGGGGTTATGGTTTCTGACTTTTGAATTGGCTTCGGAACGCTGTATGGGAAAAAAGATCGAGGAGATGGGATTTCTGGGTTATGATTTTCCAAGGGGGCCACTTTATTGCTTGGTTAATCTTCACGTTTTCGTGTTTTTTGCCATTCAAGCATATATATTATATATGTATGCTTAAATATTTGCTACTTTTTATAGGCATCACAATTATGTACAAACAAAGATGTACAGTCGAGAGCAGAATTATTATCATTAGCTCGAGGTCCTCTATATGGTGTTGAGAGGTTCAATGGATATGTGATCAATGGTTTCAGATTTCATACCAAAAAACATGAAACAAGAAAAGCCAAACAAAACAGTGGCATCTTGTTAAAGGGGCTTATGGGTTCTAAGGTTGTTGATTACTATGGAGTTTTGACTGAAATAATTGAGCTTCAATATTTGGGAGGAAACAGGGTTGTAATGTTCAAATGTGAATGGTGGGATGTTGAGAATATTGACAGGGGAGTGAAGGTCGACAAATATGGCTTTGTTAGTGTTAATACATCTCGTAAGCTCGTGACAAATGAGCCATTTGTCCTTGCCTCCCAGGTGGAACAAGTATTTTATGCTCAAGATGGATCTAATCCTAATTGGATTGTTGTTTTGAAAGGTCAATCTCAAAGTTCTTTTGATCACTTCTCTGAGGACTCAGTTGATGAACAATCATATGAACAAGAAGAGGCTTTTCAACAAGAGAAATCCGCAACCAATTATCCAATCCATAATCTTGTTCAAGGCAATGAACTAGATGATTGGGAGGAAAATGATGAGGCACATGATGATTCTGATGATAATAGCAATCATAGTGAGAACAGTGCAGATGAAGGACAGAGTTCCGGCGAGTCTGAAGATAATGACGACTTCTTGTTATAAGGTAAAATTTTTAATTTATTAATTTAATTCTTTCTGCTTTGAATATACAAGTGAAGGTCTTTTACTCGATTAATAATATATGTATTAACATGCAACAGGTGCAATTTTCATCTCGTGACCAACAAACCATTGAGCTAGCAGTATCAGCATAGGATTTTGACTTTGAGTTGGCGGTTCTAGTTCTGTGGATACCTTCTTTCATTCTATGTTCCATGTAGTGCAGTAGTGTAGATGCTTTATATTGCAAAAAACATTCTACATAACAATATGTATTGTTATGTCTTTTTTATAAGTTGGTATTTTTTGGGTAACTGTAAGGTATTCTTTTATTTTAAACTTTTTTCTCTATTTATTGGAGTATGAACAAAATTATTAAATCACTTTTGTTATTAGATTTTTTCTTCAGTACATGACAACAATGATTTCATAAGAGGCATATATATAAATATCAACATTAGCACAAAAACGTCATCCCTAATAAATTTCAGCTATGAATATGTATAACTGTGGACACATCATATAATGTAAATAATAATTAAAGTCATAGTCTTGTTCACCATTCCAGCCATAATTTGTCGGTTATGGCTAAAAGTAATTTGATAAAAAGTTGCCATGAAGTTTGGCATTCGAAGCTAAATTGTTATCAAAATCAGTTACAATTAATGATATTCATGGCTAAAAAATAATTTATGCCACAATTTCTTTAACGTGGCAAAATGTAAGAAGTATAGCCATGAATAAGTGCTTTTAAGGCAATAAATTTATCAACAGCTATGAATTTAAGTTGTGGCAGGTAGTTTAGTAGCTAAAACACTCATTATTGCCACAACACTTATGCTTCAAAACTATAAACATTATTTAGCTTCGCTATATTTCATTTGTAACTCTAGAATATAATTAAGTTATGGTTAGCTTCATGATAATAACGTTCGTGGCTGTTTTAGTATACCAGCCACAGTTGAATTAACCGTGGCTAGGAATTTGTGTCAGTAGGTGTTGTTTCTTGTAGTGTAATAAAAACAATGTCGCAAAAGGAAAAACAAACGGAGCCGTTTTGGCTCTAACGATGTTGTTGGTCGTGGACTAGTGATGGTCAGTTAATTAATATTTTAATGACTTTTTAGCACGGTGTCGTTCAGTTGGAAACGATGCCGCAAAGGAAAGAAACGATACCGTGAGCAGGCCAAACGATGCCGCAACCGTTAAAACGACATTGTTTAAGATAAGAACAGTGTCGCGAAGCTCAGAAATTCAACGACGTCGCGGGACAAGGAAACGACGTTGCTTAACTGAGAACGACGCCGGGGTGAGAGTTTGACGGCGAGTTAACAATGAGGGCTGGTTTGGTTAATTACTACGTTATTATTATTTTAGACGGTATCGTTTAATACGATGCCGCGGAGAAGTAAAACGACACCGTTTAAGGCATCAACAACGCCGCAGTATTACTAAGCGATACCGTTTAGTTAGAAACCATACCACAACGGGTTGGATTTTGGCAAGGCCCGACAAGCCAAACGGCACCGCAAGACGAGAAAACAGTACCGCTGGGTGGATAACAATGACGCGAGGGATATCAACAGCACCGCGACACTAAGTAAACAACGGTGGTTAGTTAAAAACAGTGTTGCAAGAATATACCAGTGCCGCTAAGTGAACAAACGACGTTGTTTAGCTCCAAACAGCGTTGCGAATCCCACATCGAGGAGTTGGGTCCAATGCTCAGAGACTCGAGAACACCACAGAATCAAGACTATTCATGCCGCAAGACCGCAAGCTCAACGGGATCGGGAATCAAATGTTGCTGCAAGTGCGACCTGGTAAGTAACAACATTGCTTGCTCTAACCTAGATTGATTAAGGTCAGGCCGTGTTTGAACATGGTTGATCACGGAGCTAGTCGTTTGTGAAGCAAAGCAGTGAGTTCAATGATGTCAAGAAGCGGCATTGTTTCAATTCTATGACAAGCAGGCTAGTGATCAAGCATTGTTGAAGTCCTAGCTAAATAATGTCGTGATTCGGACAAGGGAGCAACATTACTTGTGTCGTTATGTATTTGACAATGCCGCAAATCCAACGTTCCTGATTGGACGAGAAACGACGTTGTTTAGTGGAGAACAACGTTGCTAGGGTTGAGATCGCTGGGAAATTTATTCCCCACAACGACGACGTTGTCGAGACAAGAGACTCTCATGCTCAGATTTTAGAAGTGAAGCGGTGTTGTTTATGATACGCCGCCGTATTACGAACAAGGATGAATGTAGTTTGGCTTGAGGAGTTGGGGGTGGATTATCGAACCCGGGTGGATAATTACAAGGGTGGCTCAATGTCGTTTTGTCGAGTTGCTGATGCCGAGGTGAAAATTTGCTAAGTATGGAGATCCAACCACAAGGGTGTCAAGCATGACACCGTCCGATGGGTGCCAAACGACCGGGTACCAAGCCGGGTACCAAATAGGAGACCATCCGTGCTGAGACAAAATCGGTTGAGTATGGGGCAAGAGGGTACCATGCCGGCAAGGAGGGCTTGGTACCAAAACATTGAATTTGGCTAAGTATAGAGCCAAAGGGGTATCAAGCCGAAAAGGCATGCTTGATACTAAAATACATGAAAATTGGTTAAGTATGGAATCACATGGCCATAGCAAGAGGGTACCAAGCCGGCAAGGCATGGCTTGGTTCCAAGACATGAAAAGCATGAATTTGGCTAAGTATGAAGCCAACGGGGTCGACAAGACATGCTTGGCAGCCAAGCAAAGCGACAGGGTCCCATGACCCCAAGGGGGTATCAAGCCGGTAAGACTGACTTGGTGGCCAGGCAACAGGGGGCCAAGACGGACTTGATAGCCATACATCAGGGTATCAAGCCAACAAGACAAGAAATTCTACTAAGGCATGGTGGCTAGCTGAGGTGGCCACCCGACTAGGTACCAAACAACCATGTATGGTCCTTATGGGGCCATATGGAGACAAAGTCCCAAGGCCGACTTGGTAGCACCCTAACGGGGTACCAAGCCGGCAGGGTGTAACTTATCAACTGGATGAGGCTACAAAGACTAAGTATGGAGACCAAGCCCCAGGATTGGTGTCATGAGATGGTAGCGGTCTCAAGACGACAAGAGTGGGGAGTCATCAAGCAGCCGAGGGTGCGATCAAGACTTCATCAGGGAGGCTAAGCAAAGAACCTCAACCCCATCCAGTCATGACAGGGCGACGAGACGAGACCCCCAAGGCGACTGTTACCAACTAGTCACAAAGGCAGCGACAAGCGGCCCCTAAGGCGGTTGGAGCAAAAGGCCAGCTAGCAATTACTACGGCGGTTACCAAGGCAGTTACACCCAGTGACTATAAATAGGAGAAACAAAGACGGGAAAAGGGTTCCACAACCAATCATTTGACACACTATGTCAAAATTTATCTTTTCTCTGCAACTTGCCTTTTAGTTTTTCGGAGCTCTCACTGAACCTCCATAGGAGTAGAGTAACGTAGCTTGTTCCCAAAAAACCATCAAAACATCAAACACCCTCGTTCGAACATTGTTCGGAGAGGAGTGGACCGTGTAATTATCGTTGTTCAAGAAGTCAAAGGTGCATTCATTGTGTTCAAACACAAGTTTTTCCTCGCCGGAAAACAGATAATCATTTGGGTTAAACTAATGAATCAATGGGTGTCGTCATATGATTGCTCTATGTATGTGGAAATGAAGTGCTCTTTTTCATCCAATAATACTATATTTAAGCAATGGAGCCAACAAAGAAGATGAGGTAATTATATGTGGCTAGGTGTGGGGAGCAAGACATTTCATTGGAGGTGACTTTGGCTTATTATATGGTTTGTTTTGTTGAACTTTCTTTGGTTGGGAGTTAGTGAAAGTAAAAGGGTTTTTGCTCTTTTATTGAAACCCTAGATGGAGAAGGGTCATCCTTGGCCAAGTCGGAAAGTCATAGAAAGAACTTTAGAGGACTTGTAGTCCTTCGGGTTTATTGGGTTAATAAACTTGCTCCCCTAGTTACAAACATTTTAGCTAATAAGCCCTAACAATATGATTTATAATACATTTTATGTTTGTGTGTAATAAGAAAACTCGACATGAAATAAAACAAATTCAAAGAGAACTCAATTCGAACAAATCACATGTTGTGCACACGAAATATGGTCATGGGAGTAAAACCTTCAAACCTTTCAACTCGATCATTCAAATTTTTGCAAATCAGAAGCTCAACAAGTAAATCAAGATCACGAGACAATATTGATTGAGAAGGTGTATATTTTTTATCGATAATCTGGAAAACATAGGGTGTTATGGATGCAGTAATACTATATATTTTTTTTATTATCTCTTTGTCCTTGTCTCTGGTGACTTTCGTTTTTATGGAATGAGATTAAGTCAACATGCCCAAATTTACACCTGATTAGGAACTACATAAACTATGTTGGAGGGAGTAATTTGAAAACAAATACAATGTTTTTTTGTATGTTCGATTGAAATCGTTGATATATGAATGTGTTTGTTAAACTAGCATAATACAAGGACTACAAATGTCATTAATTTCTTTTAATTAACTAAGGTAGGATTACAACTCTTTTGCAGTTTGCTTTTGTACTAGTGTTAGGAAAAGAAACCCCCCCTTTAGTTGGTGAGGTCATGACTAAGGGAGAGAGAGGTTGATTAAATTAGTTAAAGCATAGGGTTAAACCATAAGATTTGCATAGGTCATGTTTCCTTCACTTGATAATTATTCTATTAGTCATTAGTGTATCATTTAACCATTAATTATTTAAAATTATGAATTGGTGGATGCATGTGTCATTCTCCACCACTTCACCACATGCCATCTATTTCACCCAACCATCGTAAAATTTCACCTGATTAAGACTTGGTTCACTCAATTAAATACCGAAATATTGAAAAAAAATTAATTAAATAAATATAACACACATACTTTAGTTCTTCGTTACTCTTTGACAATTCACGAACCCTCTATCTAACTCAACTTTAGCTTTCCAATTTAAGTCATTCTCGTCTCTCAATCTCTTGGTTATTTTCACGACATAAAAAAACACACTCTTTCATTAGTCGTCTCTCAACTTCCAATCCATCGAATTAAAGATTACCAATGACAAGAAATTGAGATATCAACATCCCCCTTCTCCTATCCATATTCTAGCGCTAGACGAACTCAAAACCATTTGCTTAGTCTCATGAGAACCTATAATAATAAGTTGAATGGAGACTT